CCCCAAAACCCCAAAACCCCAAAACCCCAGAATATTGGAAACAGTTGAACCAAATAAAATTTAACACACATGATCTTGAGAGCTTTAGAATTATCTTGATGAGTCAAGTAGCAAGCCTTTAGCTTTTGCTGATGAGTCAGAGGAAATCTTACTCATAGAAGCTTCATTTTTTTGATGTTCGGCTCGAGCATTGTTAAAGTCGAGGACGCCTTCTCAGTCTCTATTATGTGGCATGTTGATGATCCTTAACTGATCCTCTTTATAATGTGGTTTGTTGATGACTCTTAATTTTCTCATTTGAGCCAAAATATCTTCTTGCTTGAGAAAAGTTCTCCATTCAGCTTTCAAGAGCTTTGAAACAACAAAAGTTATTACTGCCAAGACGATAAAGATTACCATATTAAAGGCTAAATAGTAGAAGGGTGATTTATCTTCAAATGGCTGTTCAGAGAAGCTAACGATAATATCATCAAATTCAGTTCAGGATGAAGTATCATTGACTTTAAACATCGGCATGTAGTATCGATCTATCCTTTGTCGGATGCACTTAGATTTATCTACAAATACTTCATTACCTCTTTCATTGACGATTTTCTTAATAATGTTCAACTTCTTCTTACTATAAAGTATCCATAAATAATTATATTCATAATCCATTTCGGTCATAACAAGCATAGCAAAGTGCCTGTATTCATCAAATCCTCCAACCATGACATCAACAAGAGTTATATTCAATCCCAATTTTTTCAATGAAAGAAAGTCTCCAAAAACAGTGGCCATAGATTTATCAGTGCATCTTTTGTTAAGGTCGAATTAAAGCTTTCGATTCCAACCTCTATCATTTTGAATAGGCTCACAAACTTTAAAGCTATGTTATGAATCCTTTCTAGATTGAAAGCGGTCTGATCAAAATCATGATACGGAGGGTATCGAAAATATTTCAGTGGTCCCCCATATCAAGCTACCAAAGGAGAGCCAATCAGAAATGTTAAGAGTATGATTCATATTCTTGTCATTTTAATTATTTAAGTTAATACAATAACAACCTTTGTTATAGGGGTTTTGGGGTTTTGGGGTTTTGGGGG